GAGCAACATATTTGTCAGGGCATCTTTCTGGCACTTCAGCGATGCCCACGTCGGGGAAGAACTGATTTCGCCGGGTCATTCGTCAAAGTACCAGTTAGTGGAGTCCCCGTTTGAGGGCCGCTTAGAACGGGAGCTTCCCCCAGGTTTCCGACGAACCGCATCCATACCCATAGCCAGTCTTCTTGCCTCGGACCCCATTGAGGGTATGGGTGTGTGTCATTCATTTGTCAAGCATCAGATATTCATGATGAAGCAAGGGCCACAGCGACGTCCAGTGCTTGGCCCCCCCACCCCCCACGAGGGGGGGCAAGACACCGAAAGTCTGGAGGTTGGAGTTTCTTCGAATTCTGGGGGGTGGCAAGACACTGACAGCGGTCGCAATGTTGGAATTCTCGAGGATGGCGTTTCTTCGAGCATTATTGGGGGGCCCCCGAGGAGGGGAAACAATGAAAGAACCGCAATCCTCGAGATGTCCTTCGTTGCGACCCCTGCAAGTTCGGAGCTCCCGGTCCTTGCCCCCGAGTGCCGGAAGTCTCTGCCGCCCATGGATTTCAAAATGGTGTGGCCACAGGCAGGGGGAAGGGGATGGGGGGGAGGATAACGATGTTGAGAAGAAGGAGGTTGAGGAGGAGGAGGAGGAGGAGGAGGAGGAGGAGACGGATGGACGAGGGAAGAGAGAGTGGGGAGGAGGATCTGGGATTGCGAAGCTGTTGAAACCGTTGTCCTGTTTGTAGAGTGCGATACTGTAGTTAGAATTATAATTTTACACCGAAGCAGTTCTTCTCGGGCACGAAACGTAAGCACTTACAGTACATAGTCCAGGTCTGGCATAGAGGAGGGAGGAGGAGGAGGAGGAGCAGGAGGAGGAGGAGGAGGAGGAGGAGGAAGAGGGGGAAGGAGGAGGAGGAAGAGGAGGAGGATTTCCAGGATTTCCGCCATCCCGTAGGGATACAAAAAGGCTGAGCTCAGTTGCCATCTTTGGGAAACAAGTCCCTAGAGATCCGATCGAGATATTCCCGTCGGGGAGGAGGAGGATGATGACTGTGATGAGGGGGTGGCGAGGAGGAGGGGGAGGAGCATGAGGAGGATGACAAGGGAACAGGGAGAATCTAAGATGCATCAGCGATGTTGCTATTCACCTCCCGTCCCGTGGCCCTCCCCCTCTGAAGTCCGTATGCGTAAGCATTCCTTTTCAAAGTTGGACGCGCGCCCTTTTGAGACATGCGCCCCTGATATTCTTCGGAGAGTTCCGTTTTGCTCAGGAGCCGCCTTTCTCGTCGTCGTCCTCCTCCTCCTCCTTCTATTGATGATCCTCCTCATATTCCTCATTCTCCTGCTCAACGGCCGGGAGTGGGTGGCAGCGACGGTAGCAGCTGGCAGTCTGACGTCTGCATCGGAAGGGGGGCAGCAGCAGCAGGAGCAGGATGAGAAACCAGAGGTGGGGCATGAGGAGGAGGAGGAGGAGGAGGAGGAGGAGGAGGAGGAGCAAGAGGAGGTGGAGGAGGAGGAGGAGGAGGAGGACCAACATTGTGCGAGCAGGAGGTCGCGGCGCAGGAGAACGAGGAGGAACATGACCAACCAGAGCCGCAGGGTCGGCGGGACCCCAGCGAGAGGGGGAGCAGGGCCAGCAGGAAGTGCAAGACGAGCAGGAGGAGGAGCAGGAGGGGGAGGAGCCGGTGGGACAGGAGGAGCAGCAGGAACAGCATAAAGATGAGCTAAACAGCGGCAGCGGCAGTGGGCAGAGGAGGATTTGTGGATGGTAGGAGTGTGATGATGGTGGTGATGATGGTGATGACGATGAGGGTGGTGATGATAATGATGATGATGATGATGATGATGATGATGATGATGATGATGATGATGGTGGTGGTGATGGGGCGTTGATGATGTTATTGTTGATGGTGGTGAGTGTGGTGGTGACGATGACGAGGAGTATGCTGCTGCTGCTGAAGATGATGATGATGATGATGATGACGATGATGATGCTGTGTACGGTGATGCTGATGATGTTTGTGATGATGATGCAGATGATGATGATGTTGATGATGATGATGATGGTGGTGGTGGTGATGATGATGATGATGATGATGATGATGGCGGTGGTGGTGATGATGGTGGTGGTGGTGATGAGGATGATGATGATGATGATGATGATGATGATGGTGATGATGATGATGGTTTTGGTACCATGGTAGGGGTTATAACGGTCTTGATGGGCATCTCGATGATGAGGCCGTTGATGTTGGTCTTTTTGACGAGGATCAGGAGGATGTTGAGGCTGATCACTGTGCCAACAGGGCAAATGATCATCTCGACGTTTATGACGTGTATCGAAGCTGACCCTGCTGACGATAGCGAGTACGGTTCGATGATGACGATAAGGAGGATAACGATGGTGGGGAGTTGGAAGTGAACATGACGAGGGGGTCCTCGCGATGATGACGACCAGTTTCCACGATGACGTATGATAACGATGATGCTGACCATGAATAATAATATGATTATGTTGATGCTGGTACTGATGCTGATATGCTCATCGTAGTGGTGGTGATAATGATGTTGATGATGCGATGATAATGATGATGCTACTGATGGTGATGATGATAAGGGTAATGCTGCTGATAATGCTGATGATGAGGAGGGGGATGAAGAGGATGAGGAGGATGATGGAGATGACGATGATGAGGATGAAGGAGCAGGATGGGCTACGACCCTATGGGCGAGGACCTCATGAGGAAGAGCTGGTGTGGGGACCTTCTAGGCGGGAAGCTCGCGGAGGGCTCATGGGCGAGGACCCCATGGTCAGTGACCTATGGGCGCCGACTTGGCGTGGGCTTTCGGTCCTACCTGTGGCGAGGTCCCTGTGGGCGAGGACCCTGTGAGGGTTGATCCCCAGGCGCCGGATGCTCGTGGGCTCAGGTGCCGAAGTGCGCGGGCAGCGCTGCCTTACGAGACCCCCCCCCCTTGCGTCCGGCACGCGGCTTGAGGACCGGGGTGTGCTTGGGACGAGCAGGCCTCGCGGAGAGGAGGAGAAAGGCCAGGCGACCCCGGGGCAAGGGGGCCTCGCCTCGAGGCTCGAGGACCCCGGATCCCCGCCAGGCCTCGGGAAAAACAATAGCGCACACTAATGCCACACATTCATCTGTCAACGCCTCCCCCTCCCCCCACTGCTCAAAGTTTGGCAGTGGGTCGGACGAGTTGCATCTCGGCCGCAGTCTCCCCCGCGCTTTGCCAGCTCTGAGTTTGGAGGGGAGCGGGAGCGTTCAGTAATTGCTCCCCTCTACCGCATCACCGACGATGTGTTGCCAGACATGCTGGCGTCGCAAGAGGGTAGCAATTTTCGGTGTTTGGCCGTTTTCGGACTCCGGGGGGCCCTCGCTAGAAGCCCTGGGGGCCCGTCAAGAGGCGACTCTCGCGATGAAACACTGGCTCTAAGCGAAAGAGACGGGACTTCGGGGACCCCGTAATGACCAAATGGAAACATCGCGTGTCTCGTTGTGTCGATTCGGGTTGTGTTCTTTGACCTCGGCCTCTGTCGCGTTCGGGTCCCAGGGCCACCGAGAATGAATCCCAGACGCAGAGCATCGGAGGATGCCTGGGATCCGGGTTGCTCCGGATGCTCTTCACCCTTTTTGAGGGGACCCTGGGGTGCTTCTCGCGGACACGGCGGGATTTCCCTTGGCAGGAGGGAGGAGGGAGGAGGGAGGAGGGAGGAGGAAGGAGGGAGGAGGGAGGAGGGAGGAGGATTTCCCTTGGCGGGATTTCCCTTGGATTTCCCTTGGCATTTCCCTTGGGATTTCCCTTGGCTCCCCCGCGTCGGCCCTCGCAGGCTGGGATACAGGCAGGAGCCCGAGCTTCGCCGAGAGGTGACCTCTGGCGCCCCGCTCTCGGGGAGGGGGGCGCGGGGGGACCCGCTCCCCAAGCGCGCAGGCTGCTGCCGTCGCGTCGCCCGCAACGGTGTCGGCCAGCCGCGCACCAGAGGTCGCGATTGTCGTGGGGCCAATCCTGCGTGCGTTCAGCTGGTACAACGTGTGGGACCTGACCTCCTCCCACCTCCTCCTCCTGCCCCTCTCCTCTTCCCACCACCCCACCTCCTGCCCCCATACTCCCACCACTCCTCCTCTCTTTTCCTTCCTCTCGGCCAGGATGTTGTGGATCTGGTAGTCTAGGTCAGGACGAGTGCAATGTGTGTGTGTGTGTGTGTCGGGTGTTTCTATTGTCTGGCGCGGGCTGTTCAATGTTGATGGACACGAATGCGTCAGGATCTCAGTGAGCTGCATCTCGTCATGTGGGTAAGTCGGGCTTGATCAGTGGGTGGACACCGGATAACCAAGGGCACCTTTGTGTCTTGCCTGTCGCGTCTCATGCCATCTTCATGTCTGGGGCACGGGTTGCAATCGAAGGAGTGTTGTACCTTCTCGAGTACAGTTTGCAATCGGTGCCGACTGCATGTCTCAATTCTGTACGTATCTTATACACATGCAGCTTTCCCCCGTCGGCCCCTCACTGCGGCAGGCACGGCGCCGTGGCTGTCCAGCAGGCTTTGCGTCAGCCGGGCCCTTCCCGACCCTCCAAAAAGCAGGCTCGGCGGCACTCCGACGACCCGATGCGGCCCGATGTTTGCCTGGCGCCGCTGTGCACCCTGTCGCGGCCGGCTGGGTCCGATGCCAGCTCCGCTCCGAGGCACGCTCCGATTCGATCCGACTTCTCATTATTCAAGCCCGGGAGGGTAAGTTCAGCATCGTCGCTGTGCATCCACGGTCGAAAGCCGGCATGGTCCGGTTTAGCTCCGCGGAATCCCGATGACTCCGGCTTAGACGAGCCTGCTCCCAGGCCTAATCGTAATCGGGCTCAGTAGCCTCTCATCGTTCTCGAGAAGACCTCCGAGGAGTTGCCTCTTGAGGAACTGCGGCTCTGACGGTGACCGATCCTGCCCCTCTCGGCGTCTTAGCATGTGTGGAGTATCCTGGACCGCGCCAGCAGAGAAGATGCCCGGCCAGGCCGCCCTGCGGACGCTGACCGCGGCACTCGAGCAGCTGATGGCCGGGTGGTGCCAGCTCTGCCTGCCGCTCAGAGCGTCCAGGGGCACGCCTCGGCCTTCGGACAGCCCGATCCCGGCGAACGAACAACACGCACCCATGCACATAGGGGGGTCGGAGGTGGCCATGGGTGCGTGTTGTCGGGTGGGGGTCCCCGCTCGAGCGGGAGCTGCCCCCCAGGGTCCGACAACCCGCACCAATACCCACAGCCAGTCCTCCTCCTTCCGACCCTCCTATGGGAATGGGTGTGTGTTGTTCGTTCGTCAATATCCCGACGATGGGATTGTTTCAATCCCAGCGTTTTCCGTCGACTTCGGCCTCGATGGGGCCGGTTAACGGGCCCACGTGCAGTTCGACATGGATCCGGCAGCGAAAGAAGACCACCAGGGAAGCGGTCGGGACCTTTGGGGACGCGGATTGAAAAGATCAGATCCGCGGACGCCAGGGAACGCGACACCACCACCACCACCACCACCACCACCACCACCACCACCACCACCACCACCGCCACCACCGTGGGTGCCGCCTCCAGCAAAGCGGTCCATGATGCTTCCAAAAGCTTGGAATAGCGGGTGTCTCCAGCCAGAGGGGGGGACCACATAGGGAGACCCCCTTTGGCTCTCTCGCCCTGGTGGTGGCGGTGGTGGTGGCGGTTTTCCTTGTTCTCAGACCTCCTCGCGTCGTGAACAAAACTCACGAAGGACTGTGGTTTGTTGTTGTTGCCGTTTGCAGCCTCCGTGCGCCCTCACAGGGCCCCAGGGCCTCATCGCTGCGGTCAAAATTTGTATCCACACTCACGGTGTCTTGGGCTTTTGGAAGGGGTGTCTGAAATCCGAGACGTTGTGGATTTGGTTGAAGTCTGGCCTCGATGGAGGACAGATTTTCGGTTTCTCATGTCCACTGCATCTCGGGCCTTCTCAGGGACGGGCGGCCAAGAATTCGAGACGCAGTGGATCTTCATGTATGTACGTCGTGCCCGCGATCGCGTCGTGAGGCAAAGCCAGGATGGGCTTTGTCCTGCAATGTTCTGCCTCCGCGGGTTCTCATCAGGCCCCAGGACCGTGAAAAGAAACCAGATCGCGACGAGACAAACTGCTTTGGAAAGGTAGTCGAGAGGTCCAGGGGCCCGCGCATTATCCGGGCCACGTGGGCCTCATCGCTGTAGGACGATTCGTCGCCGTCGTCTTCGACGGTCGTCGCCGGAGAGGTGATAATGTTGTTGTTGTTGTTGATGATGGTGGTGATAATGATGATGCTGATGATGATGATGATGATGATGATGATGGGAATGGTCGTAATGATGGTAACGATAGTTGTGCCGTTGGCGATGGTGGTGATGACGATGACGACGATGATGATCACGATGATGACGACGACAATTATGATGATGTTGCCGTTGCTGATGATGATTGATCGTGTTCATGATCATGATCATGGCGATGATGATGATTTTGGTGGTGGTCATGATTAGTCGACGTTACGGGAGTGCACGGTAGCACGTCGAATAACATCTTGAGGAGGGTAGAAGAGGAGGCCTACTCATCAGAGACGTTTCAGAATGGGCAAAAGTGGATCTTGATGGGGAAATCCCAGGGAATGTATTATCTTTTCTAGGGCCAGCTGCCGATCACTTCATGGACACTACGTGTGCGATACTCTGTTGTAAGAGTGTTGCAGTGTTCTGGGATGTGCTGATGCGCTTTACCTGCGTCAAAGTAGTTGGCTCGTACCTGCCAGGCAAGTTGTGTTACAGGGATGCTGCGGTACTAGTGCCGCGCGTGCCGACGTCAAGAAGATGACCCCCCCGACGCAGGTTGCAGAATACCAGGGTGTGAGCCACTCTCAGGTAAAAACGTCGAGCCCGCTGTACCGCCACGCCTGAAGGTGCGACGACCCCGGCAGTTGCGAATAAGAGTGGGTGGGGCGGGGGCGGGGGTGTCGTCGACAGTCTGCGAGGCTCGACCGAAATCTTGAAGACGCCCGCTGCAGGCGCTGATGTTTTTTTTTTTTTGTCTCTCTTTTTGTGTGTTCATACGCTGCACAGCGAGCCCGCAGGCGCTGACTCTGTACTCAGGTGCGGATGTGTTACCAAGCCAACCCGGGTGGGTCGCGGACGGATCGTGGGCGGGTCGCGGGCGGGGCAGGGGGCGAGGACGACGACGACGACGGCACAACAACAGCACGACACCAGGCGGCAAGAGGCCGCGCCGCGGAGGCCCAGCTCGGCCAGTGCGCTCCGGGAGACGGCGTGAGGGCGGTCGGTCCCCTCCCTCATGGGATTGCCCGGGGGGCCCGCAGAGCGGGAGAGTCAGGGCAGGCCCTCCGGTGGAGCGGGTGCCCGCCGGTCTGGCAGGGGGGGTCCATTGGGGGGGGGGGGGGGCCTCCCGGGCGCCCTCGCTGGAGCACTTCTGGGGGCCTCCTTTGGCGCGTCGTGAGGTGGGCCCTCCTGCGCCCGCTTGGCGCCCCCTCGGGGGTTCTGGAGGCCCCCTGGAGCTCCTTTCGGGGAGGAGGAGGAGGAGGAGGAGGAGGAGGAGGAGGAGGAGGAGGAGGAGGAGAAGGAGGGGAGGGGAAGGAGGGGGAGGAGGCGGAGGAGGAGGAGGAGGAGGAGGAGGAGGAGGAGGAGGAATAGGAGGAGGAGGGGGAGGAGGAGGAGGAGGAGGAGGAGGAGGAGGAGGAGGAGGAGGAGGAGGAGGAGGAGGAGGGGCTCCTCCTCGGCCCATCTTCGGGGCCTCCTAGGCCCCCCTTGGGAGCTCGGGGGCCGCCTCTGGGGCCTGGGGGCCGCCATATGGGCCGTGCGGGGAGGGCTTCCTGGGGCCGTCGGGGACGCCCTGGATGCCGACGGGCTGACAATTCTAGACCCACGTCCCAGGTTGTTCAATGCCCTGTTCGGCCGCCTTGGAGCCTCCAGGGCCGTCTTGGGCCGTCTTGTTGGGGCCATCCTGGGGCCATCCGGGTTCCTCTTGTGGCCTTCGTGGGGCCTCCGGGGGCTTTGCTGGGCCGTCCTGGGGGGGCATCTCGGAGGCCAGCTGGCAGGCTCGGTGAGCGCTCGCGAGCCCTCCCCCCCCCCTTGGAGATCAGCTGGCCACGCGGCCACCGGAGCCTTCAAGCCACGGCCTTCGGAACTGGCTCCGAGGGCCGACATCGAGCCCAGACCCCCGACGCCATGATTTTGTTCAAGACGTCGACCCCCCGCAGTCTCGACACATTCCCTGGGACCGGTCTCTTATCCCGAGTCGTTGTTGAACGGTCCCGAGGGCCGGCAAGGGTTCCCAGGGGCCGAACATGGTGAAATCGACTAGACGTAAGAGTGACCTTTCGCCGGAATGACCTTTGGTGCGGGCCAAATGGGTTTCCCCGGTCGCCAAACGCGATGCGATAGTAGCGTCTTGCGCGCTTGTGTGTTGGCCCCCCCGCGGTCCCCAAAAAGCCGCCGCACCAAAGGTCTTCTTACCCAGGGTCACTCTTGCGTGTAGTCGATGAAACACTTCCCGTCGTGGATTGCTCATGACCCGATGGGGTCTGGGAGGGCCGACATCCCGCTGAAAAAAAGGAGGGGGCGGAGGGGGCAGGGGAGGGAGGAGGCGGAGGGGCAGGGAGCGGGGCAGGAGAGGGAGGAGGGAGGAGGAGGAGGAGGTGGGAGGGAGGGAGGGAGGAGGGAGGAGGGAGGAGGAGGAGGAGGAGGAGAGGGAGAGGAGGAGGAGGAGGAGGAGGAGGAGGAGGAGGGAGGAGGAGGAGGAGGTGGAGGAGGGAGGAGGAGGAGGAGATGGAGGAGGAGGGAGGACGAGGGCATCGGGGCGATCGCTCGGCACTGGCCGCATCACCGAGCTACCGAGGAGGGAGCATCGAGGCGGTGGTGGTGGGACACAGACAGGGCCATGGCGGAGGAGAGTCGAGGAGGGAGGGGGGAGGGAGAGGGGGGGGGCGCGAGGATCGAGGCCTCCTAGATGGGGTCGGAGCAGAAGGGGTCGAAAGATCGCGGCGCATCGCCAGTGCGGCTCGATGTGGAGCCCGTGTTTCCCCTTGCCGACGTCGCTGAGGCATCGCCGAGGCATCGGCGCTGCATCGCCGAGGCACCGCCGCTGCGGCGCGGCCCTCCGGTCCCATCTACTGGGGCCCCATCTGGGAGCTTGGAGGGCACCAACCATACACCAACACCGATCCTGGCCCGGGATCACCCTGGGCCCGGGATCGGTGTGTGCATGCCTTCTTGCGCCAGGCAGGAGGGCGTAGACACCGATCCTGGGCCCAGGGTGGTCCTGGGCCAGGATCGGTGTTGGTGTACATAGTTGGTGCCTTCCCAGGGAGGATATCTGGAGGAGGGGAGCGCGGCCGCCCGCAGCGCTCCCGGCCGGCGGCCGGCGGCCCGCGGCCCGAGGCCAGCTGCAGGGGTGCGCCCTGAGGCCGGCGGTGCCCGCCCGGGGGGGCGGGCCCCGGGCCTCTCTCCGCGGCTCTGCCCTGCGGCGACCCGTCGTCGGCTCCCCTGGGCCGCGCGCAGCGCAGGGGGTCGCAGGCGATTTCTCTCCCCCAATCCCCGACTTCCGCCAGAAAAGTTTGGTCGCTCAGAAAAGGGGAGGAATCTTGGGATACATCCCGAGGGGGCTATTCGGACGCACCCCTGTCGAGGATGGACGCCCCCCCCTCGTATATCCCAGGGTTGGGCCCCAAATTGTTGATCCTCTCGAAAACCTCACGGAGCATGGGATAGGGGTCGACGCATCCCCTGTTAGGGGGGCCAATCGTGAAGCAGTGGCGAAGCGTTGGGAACCCCCAAACCGGGTGGCGAGACACCGGGTGGCGACCTGGAATCCCCAAAAAGGTCACCGCTGGGTTTGGGGACGCGGGGTCACCACCGGGTTTTGTGACTCCTGGACCCACCGGTGTCCGGGACATCCTCGAACAAGCGCACGAGTCCCCAGACCAGGTGGTGACACCAAATCGCCCGAGACTCACCGCCAGGTGTTGTCACCACCACGTTTGCGCGCAGCGCATGGGGGGCAATCGTGAAGCAGTGGCGAAGCGCCCCAGCTCGCCAAGAGGCCTGAGTAG